AGCTGCCCTCCCTGCCCTAGCGCTTCCCTCGCTAAGTTCAGCTGCTTTTTGCCCACCTCTTTTCCAGCCTGCACATGCGGGCATGTCCCTGGGACCCAGTCCAAATGCCAAGCCTTGGAGCAGCTTTGTGGTTTTGGGGTTGTTTTTTTTTAAAGCATGAGTTTCCCTGTCTCAGCCCTGGGTTTCCTGCACCCAGTCCTGCCTGGACTTTCACCTGCAATAGATCCATCTTGCAGGGCTAGAAACAGGAGCTTCAGACCGCGGGGAGGGGATGGCTCCCGGCATCCCGAAAGAGGGCACAGCACAGCCAGAAATAACCTCCTTTAACGCAGTGACAGTTTAATGCACCAAAAAGCTAACTTAGAACATTTTTAGAGGTTTTATGGCTCCCTCTGAGCCCTGTGCAGTTGGATTCATAGCACGAGGCACCTGCTTCGCAGGACAAAGGGATACAAGGAAGAATCCCTTACATCGGTCTTTTCTATCACAGGGTAGCTATTCTAGGAATGGCACATCCTGCATCGCCTTTGAAGGTACGGCTGTTGGGCGAGGTGCCCCAGGACATCGCTTCCAGTCCTGTGACTATATCAGCAAAATGCCTGATTTGCAGCATGGGGCAGTTTCTCTGCAGTCATTTAGGTCATTTTGCAAAGTTTCATGGTTCCCAAGCTGAAACCTTCATGCCGTGCTGCACCGACTTGTTTGCCATATAAATGGTCAGCTATGGACAGATCAGTACCTAATTTCTGCTTAACCAGGGGTATGGGTATGTATTTTTTTCCAACATCCTCATGAAGGAGAGCTGCCAAAAGCTTTCAGATTAGGTTTTAAGAGGCTTGAGCTAGGAACAGCCTCACAGAGGTGGCTTGGCCAAATACAACACAGAAATCAAATGATGGGAGGGATGAACCCAGAGCTGGTTGGTTCCAGCCCACGGGGACGCTTCTAATGTGACAAAAGTCATCCTGCGTTGTACGGGTCTTGTCCTGGCCGGGGCTGCGGACTAAGCAGAGCCCCGGGTTGCTTTAGTGTGCAAGGACGGACAGAGGATTTGGGGGTGATAAAACAGACAGTAGGAGAGAAGGCAGCCAGAGTGCTGGCGTGTGCCTCATTTTCACCAGGGGTGCAACGTGCAGGGGAGACGCAGCGTCTCGTCCTCCACCGACCGCCACCAACGCTGTGTTGCAAGATGCACGGTGCGCGCTTTCTCCCGGGCCCGTCCCACACAGAGCCGTTCTGCAGGGCGGCCAGGCAGAGCCAGCACATTTGCTAGTTGTCGTTCCGCTCTCCCAGTCTGATAATTTGCCCTGAAATGAGGCCTGTCTGCAGGGGTTTTCGTGTTTTAAGAGGTCTTAAGACATAATACCCTCTACGCTCCCTGTCTGTTTATCACTGCAGCATAAGGGACTGGAATTTTAAAAGAGCAGTGGTGATATGTCTTCTAAAAATAGCTGAGATTTGAGATTTCAATGTCAGATGTGGTTTTTGAAAGCAAACATGAATTTGCTAGCTTGTTTGTCCATTTAGCCTGGAAAAAAAGAAAAGAAACCCTTCATGTTTCTCTCCAGTCTATTCTGATTCAATCCAGATTGGACTTTTTTTTCAGTCCAGTCTGCATTTGTCATCCAGCTATTCACTTTGCAAAAGGACTGGAGGCTCTTGAACATCTAGACCTGCTAAGAAGAAAGAGAGAATCTATGACCCTTTTCTTCCTAACACGTAAGACCCAAAATACTGTAAAGAAAATTAGATCTCTGGAAAGTGACAGTTTTTCATAGATGGCCAAATCATTCGGCACTTTCTCCTTCCTATCCGATGCTCACATCATTATTATGTAGTGCTTTAATTAAACCATTGCACTGAATTATTAGATCAAATGCTTTTGATTCCAATGTGTCCTGAACAGGTTTGGCGAAATGAATAAAACATGTGGTTCATTTTATAAAGAAGGAAAAGATTCCTTAATTTTGCCGATTCATAATTCAAAAGTCCCCAAAATAGATGCTGAACAGTAGCGTGCTAGTTAGTACTTAATTATAGCACGTTCTTCCCTTGTGCCTTGGAATAATTGGAACATTGTTCTATTAAATCATAAACATTATGAGCCTTATTTACTTTGAAAGGTGGCATTGTGAATTCACTCACCTTCCTAGGTCTTTACAGACTCTTCCATGGCCCCAGTCAGAGCAAACATTTCAGCACGTGCATCAGAGACATCCGTGGAGAGTCGTACTCGTGCTGCATTCGCTTGGGCTTAGCACTGGGACCGCGAGACGCTCGGGCGGGCTGGCAGCAGACCCCAAGACTCAGAAGCGTAGCAGGGCATGTCCGCGCTTGCAGCAGGCATGACACATGGGATCACCCGAGATCTGAGCGTGCTGCTTTTGTGCTGTTCCTGGCTCCCTTGGCCTTTGTGTTGAACCAAGTCTTGCATTACTGTTACAGCAAAGGGATCAACAAAGAGGCTGCGATGAGAGAGAAATCTCCATAGACAGGCATGAGCAGAGAGAAAGTGGTCCCCAAGGCTCTGCAATTCTGCATGGGACGACCTGCAGCATCCACATCCCAGGTGGTCACAGTGGTGAGCTGGGATGGGAACAAGCCAGATGGCTTCACTGAAGGTTGGGTATCATGAGACCCACCAAAAGTTTTGCTGTGTCCGAGAACAACTTCAAAAGGAGAGACTTAGTACTGTGTCCACCAAATTAGTCCCCAGGTAGCATCAGGCGTATGAGCTCCTGGCAGTAGTGGGAAAGCATTTTGGAGCAAGCAGTTTCCTAGGTGGAAAGTACAGGGCACAAGCCGGAGAGAAGAGGCACGTGCTCAGAGTAAAGAGACAGTGGCCAAGGGGGAGGGAGACGGGAGCGCGTCTTGGCTGCAGGCTGGGTGGAAGGGTTCCTGGAAGTGGCAGTGCCAGGAGAGGGCGG